CCCTGGACAAATAGGGGACCTCTTGAACAAATAGGAGGCTCCATGGACAAGTAGGAGCTAGAGGCTCTCTGTACGAATAGGAGGCCCCCTGGACAAATAGAAGGCTCCCTTAACAAAAAGGAGTCCCTTCAAAAAAAGGAGGCCCCGGGACAAGTAGGAGACCCTTGGACAAATAGGAGGCCCCTGCACAAATATGAGACTCCTAGTCGAATAAAAGACCCCTGGATAAATAGGAGGCCCCTGGGCAAATAGGAGGCCCCTGAACACGTAGGAGGCCCCCTAGATAAAGAGGAGGCCCCCTGGAAAATAGAAGCCCCCTGGATAAATAGGGGACCTTAGACGAATAGGAGGCCGCTTGGACAAATAGGAGGCGCCGTTAACCAATAGGAGGCCCCCTAGACAAACAGGAGGCCCTCTGTAACAGTAGGAGGCTCTCTGTACGTACAAGAGACCGGCGCTCGACCTGTAGAAGCTTAGCCGTATGTACGCTAGGAGGCTCTCTGTGCAAGTAGTCGAAGTAGGAGGCTCTCTGTACTGTACCTACAATTACAAATAAGAGGCCCCCTGGGTAACTTAGATGCAACACAAATCGGAGGTCACCTATAAAAAAGCGGGACTCTGTTGGAATACCTGATTTAATAAATTATTTTCCTGATATTCAAATTACTTAGGTAATCCTCGTCCGCACATGGGGGGGGGGGGGCAGTGGTTGCCACACCCCCCACCCCGACCTAGGTAGTTTTTTCTGCTCTGCACTAAACATTTTGATTGCTAGAAGTCGGATATTTCGTATAGCTGCTGCTCTATCCTTTTTTAGCGTCCACTGAAAATTTCAAGTTTCTGTGGTTTTTGGTTTCGGAGATATGACCTTATTCTTCAGGTAATGTCATAACCCAAATGACAAATACCCAATATCTTGCGTTGGCGTTGGGTCTTGTGAGCTTTTGACACCTTGATTTCGGCCTTTTTTGTCAGTCTTACCTCCCACCTATCATGGAACATGTTGTTCAATGATGTAGAGATGCCAGGGTCAGGGTCAAGGTCAACCTAGGTCGTCTAAAAATATTGCGTTTTAGGCAAGCTGAATTTACTTTCGTGAAGTTTCTTTGACTGTATTTTTGGCAAAAGCTTCTCAGTTCATGATCTCATGTAATATGGACACATTCACAGTCGGTGCACACATCAGTATACTCGTACACACAGACACACACAGACATACAAACACATGTCATTGACCTTGAGCTAACTTGACCTGAAATGACCACAGCCAGCAAAAACCTAGTCGGATAGTGTGACAAAGAGGTTCTAGCTGGCTTGGCACCACAATACGGCAGCGTCATCGGTACATGATGAGCAGCGCACGTGATATTCCAACGGGCAACGGTGACCCCAAACAGCAACATTCTTTAGTTTGACCTGACCTGGAAGGTCAATGACTGACCTGATGAGGTAAAATTGGTATCATTGGATTCGTCACTTCCCAAAGAATCTGTTGCTCTTGACCGCAAGGCTTAAAATCTTGTAAGAAAAAATTGTGGTGATGTCGAATAAGATGCCTACACAAGCAGCGGGCCAACCCATCATATACCGATGACGCTGCCGTATTAGTGCCAAGCGAGCTAGAACAGCTCTTTGTCACACTATCCGACTAATTTGCTGGCTGTGGTCATTTCACGTCAAGTTAGGTCAAGGTCAATGATATGTGTTTGTATGTCTGTGTAATGTGTATGTCTGTGTATGTACTGATGTGTGCACAGATCGGTTTGTGTGTCCCTATTACACTTGATCATGAACTGAGAAGCTTTTACTAAACATACAGTCAAAGAAACTTCACGAAAAGTAAATTCAGCTTGCCTAAAGCGCAATAATTTTACATAGATGACCTAGGTTGACCTTGACCCTGACTCTGACATCTGTACATCGCAGAACAACATGTTCAATGATAGGTGGGAGGTAAGACTGGCAAAAAAAAGCCGAAATCAGCGTGTCAAAAGCTCACAAGGCCCATAGCCATCGCAAGATATTGGGTATTCGTCATTTAGGACATGACATGACCTGAAGAACAAGGTCATATCTCCAAACCCAAATGCCGCAGAAGCTTGAAATTTTCAATGGACGCTGAGAAAAGATAGAAAAGCAGCTATACAAAGAAAATCAGGTTTCTAGCTTTAAAAATGTTAAGTGTAGAGCAGAAAAACTAACTTGGGGGTGGCGACCCTCCCCCCAGGTGCCGGCGAAGGTTAACCCTCACACTTTCTGGGGTCGGCTTACGGCTAGATTCCTTGCGCAATGCTGTGCCGTTAATTTTTTTTTCTATTATAAAGGCATTGTGTTTTATTGTCAAAAGTGAAAAAGCCAGAAATTTTCGTCGATTTCGGATGCCGCGGGGGATATTTACATACAATGTCACCCTGCTGGCCTGGATCCACCAGTAGGGTCAGGTGACCTACCATTTCTTTATCGATATTAAAAAAAAATCATGGCATCAGAGCTGTGACGAAAAATAAGTGGCCTAAATCCGATGAGAAAACTGGATTTGGGGGTACCCTATGTTTGGCTTCTGAGCCTCTGGTCCCCCAATGAAAATTTCTTAGAGGAGGCCCTGGCGTGGCTCGTAAATTACCGCTTCCGCAATTGGAGGCCCCTAATTGCTTGGAGGCCCCCACTAAATGGAGGCCCCCTTGGACGTTTGCGACCCCAATGGTGATGTCAAAGTTTCACCCATGAGCTTTGAGCTCGTTACATTCCTGTTCAGCTTGTTTGCTGTTTCTCATTGAGCTCGTTTAGTTTTATTCACGATTTATTATTGAGCTCGTTACGTGGCATGGAAACGGAGGGATTCAGCTGCTTTTCATTTGACACACGTCATAAGTCCATGAAACATTCTGTATCGTTTTCAGCTCATTGATACCTAATTACGATGCCAGGTAGGTAGGTACACAACTCAGCCCCTGAACATTACCATGTTCATCTCCCGGGACGGACGCACCTAATTGACGTCATAATGCGATGTTTCGGACCACCTCCGGCAGCTGATGGATGAGCTGCCGGTGACGTCATCAATTCAGATGAGCTGCTGCTAATTTGTGAGCTTCAAAGGACCCGCCTTCATTGGAATGTTGCGAAGGTTATGGTGGATATGGCTGACCATCGCTTGTTTCATTTGGTATCCTATGATTTATTGGTGATAATTTTGATTTACAGCGGTGGGATACGGATGTTGATTAAACGCGTGTGCACTGTGCATGAAACGATTGCAGGATTCAAGATAAAACTGTTTGGAAGGCTGCAAACAGATGCGATACTTATTTTTGCAAGCCACACAAAATAAATGAAATTGAGAAGAAACCTAAGGCGAATATTTCTGGATGATCCAGGTCCCGGAGCTTTTTTTAAATCAATAGAGAAAAGGGAGCTTTTAGTAATAATTTTGCAATCATGGCTGCAATAACACCAGACGAATTGTCAACGTTGAGTGCACTGTTGCATTGCAATTTCCAGTATAAGTGTGCATATTGGCGTCATGCATTGCTACATTTACTTATGTTGTCTCTTACGATATAACGCGCCTGGTGTTTGGGAACTTTCTTGTCAATTTATCATATCCCATATCCCATACAGTCAATATTATCTGTATCCCATAGCTATAAATCATTGTCACGCATCCACCGCCGTCGTACATTCCTTGTTTGATTGATGCACTACTAAATGGCGGTGACGCAAAAACGATGCCGTTTGTAGTTTTTGGCTCTGCTCATTAGGCTGTTTTGCATGATCCCTGACGGGTGGCATGTGGTGCCGAAAGGTTGAATGGCAGGCTGCACTCATCGCTAAAGATGCATCGACTCCAGAAAACACGGCCGTGACAAAATGAAGACGTCAGAAGCTTAATGACAGAGACAGACTGCAGTTACGGCGCTTGTTTGTCTCGATGTGGGTGACTGACGCTGTGAGTGACAGACTATGATGCTATATTAACATTTTTTCGTAATTATATCCAAGGTCCTGTTACACTGACTTTGTCGACGAAACGAAAAGCTGCGGAAATATGCGCATTGTATGTGCATTGCACAATGCGCATGTAAATGTCGTAGCCAATAATGACAATGAACAAGGACTCATTTGTTATCCATACCGACCATACCTAACGGTCCGAAATGCCTATATTTTTAGATAGTGGTCAGCATTCTTGCGTGGAATTGTGTAAAAAAAAAACGCTGTGTTTTTGCGTACATACAAAAAAAAAACGCTACGAACTGATATTTACCAAACAAGCATATGTACCTAAAAATAATTTATCGTAAAGATATCTATAGTTTAGATGAAAGATATCAGGCGAGATAAAGCGCTATAGCGCCGGCGTCTGAATCGGTCTGATCATTTAGCTCGCAATAGGAGCTAAATAATGTAGGTAAGAACTAAGAAGAGTTTCGATAACATTACCTTCGCCATCTTTTGGGCTGCTCCACTGGCTGTACGAAGCTAGAGGAAAATGCGGCCACCCTTCTTTTGATTTTGTCCTAAAAGCAATGTTGGTGTCAGACTAAATTGTCAGTCCGCTATCAGGAACATCAATAAGCGGCCCTTTTCTGTGCATGTTTCAAGAGCCCATCCATCGGGAGGTTCGAGTCCGGTCGGAGCTTCCAGAAAAGCTGCCAAACTCCACTGGAAGGCTGGTGTTTAGTCTCGATTGAAGCGTCGAGATGAGGCTATCCCGGGACTGCTGACAGCACCGATCGGTTCTCGGACTTCGGATGGGGTCTGATTGATACCTTCCAATCGTGTTGACTCGAGGAAATGGCATTGTGAGGTTACCATTACAACAGAGATGATATCGCAAAGAGGGAACCTCTGATTGATTTCCGAAAACAGGCAAACCATATGCGTTCTAACACCAGCAACATGATAGACAATACTTTTACCGGTAGTTGTATTTGAACAGCGAGAGCGTTTCGGTGGTCGGCCCAAAAACCTTTCAAGCTAAAAAAAAAAACGCATCATTATCTTTGATATCGTATATTCTGAAAATATACAGCCTACATCCTTATCCGATGCAAGTAATGTGAAACTACGATGTGCAAAACCGCACAGGAGCAACAAAAGCGGCACCCGTACGTATCTAACCCTCGCCCTGGCAGGGCATTTTTCATAACACGGCCTGGCAGGGGGGGGGGGTCGATGCGACCCCCCCCCCCCCTCGCGATTGGCTCCTATGGCATCTAGAAACACCAAATTTGGTAGGTAGGTGGGCCCCCTGGAGTTCTCGCCCCTGTGCAAATTTGGTTGCTCTAGGTCATTATTTAGGGGGGTTTTGGGGGGTATAAATGTAAAAATTTCGCTAAAAACAGGTTACAAGTTTTTCGCTTATAACTTTTGATCTAATTAAGATAGAGCAAAAAGAAAGGCACCAGTGAACTCAGCACGTCAAGGCGCGTCGAATGATATACTTTTTAGCTTGCTTAAGTGTACTTAAAGTTTTTCTTAAATTTTAAGTAAACTTAAATTAATAAATTAAGTTCAACTTAACCAAATTGCGTCATATCGTATATCATTCGATTCGGCTAATCACCAGGAACACAATGATGCCATTTTTTAAGCTCTAGCGTCATTATGTGCCAGGTTATTGGCAAAAACGTCATTTGACCTCAGTTGACCTCATTTGACCTGACCCATGGATAAGTACACCAAACAAAGAAGCACCAAGTGACCTGCTGTTAAGTACTGTGGTTTCAAAGCACAAAAATGATAGAACGAAGCGGATATCTCCAGTATTTTCCGAATTTAGTATTTTCCCATAGGCTTAACATTACGACGTAATGACCTCTAACTGACCTCAGGTCAGTGACCTCAAAAAACCCGAACTATATGTTATACAACTCGGTGAACTTAGCACATCCTGAAAGTTTGAAGGAAATCAGTGAAAAACTGTGAGTTGGACAGGTGCAAAAAGAAAATTGAAATTTGACCATGACCTTGTACCGGTTTTTCTGACCTGGTGACCTGACCCAAGGTCACCCGGACCTGAAATTTTCAGGTCATATGTAAAAAGGTTGCCCCATAGGCTGTGCCAAATTTGGCGGCGCTGCGCGCCGCCGTTTTTACGCTATCTTCGAAAAACCTTAGGGGGGGGTCGCATCGACCCCCCCTCTGCCAGGGCGAGGGCTAAGCTGTAAATACAACGAGCGTCCCGGCCAACTGGCAACTACCACATGTAGGTATAGCTGATAACTTCTGAACTACTTCATGCCATACTGGCCATACTGCCTATGAAAGTCCACTGCTAACTACTAATCGATGAAAAATAGTGCTACCTTGTCTGTACTCGCACTGAAGTACGAAAGGAGATAGTGCAGAGTTCCACATTCTCACAATTGGTAGCATCTGTGTGTTGGGTATATGTAATTTTCGTCCAGCTACTCGCTGTTCAGACAGAGTAAGTCATCCCCGTGGGGTGAGCCCCAAATACAAACACAGCTGCAGATCTCGGAAACAGCATCTGCAACCCAACAGTTTTCAATCAACGGGCGTGATATATCGCAGCCTCATATAATCCTCCTGTCTATACTGTGGTGAATTCACTACTCCGCCCTAGCCTTTTCATTCTCCTCACATCTCGAGCGCTGCCACTCAGCAAACGCCGGGTACGTCTTGGCAAACTTCTCCCGCAGCGACTTGCCACAGTTGACCGGCGCGAACCGCTTGTCGTCGTCCAGAGGGCGCACCAGAACGTCATCGTCGGGATCGACGAACATCGCGATCGACTGCCGGGCGCGCCGGCGCAGCAGCTCCTGCTGGGGCACGACCACGCGGTGTTTGGTGGCGCGGAGTCGACCCGAGGACCACACCTCCATGAGGTCACCGACGTTGACCAGGATGGCGTCCTCCAGAGGGGGAGCCGGACGCCAGCCGCCGTCAGCCGATTCCACCTGAGGAAGAGAAAAGGAAGTGTGTGAGAAGAGCGATTTCTTTTATAAAAACCACAGCAAAACGATAAAGCGGTTCCAGTGAATTCATAAATTGTTCTGCTTCAATAACTCAAAGACAAGTCTTCATTTTTCAGTCTTAAAATAAAGAGGATGTTCTCGCCAGCGACATTTTCAGCTGTCACTCAGTCGTTTCTCTTCATTTCGTATGTTTGTTTTGCTACGTTTGGCCCTTTGATCAAAGGAGACCACTTCAAGGCGGCAGGATGACAGGGGAGAGGGGCATTGGTCAGGGCGGCCACTATAGTGCCTCACAGCTCTCAGGTCTCGCGAAACCCTCCTTTTCTACGCCCTGAGCCCCTTACACGTCCAGCGAACAATTCTATGTAGTTCAGTTCGGATAGAATATTGTATTTCTCCAGAAATCGACGGATTGAGGGTCGACAAAGACGTAAGAAAAATATCTGTGCAAAATTGTTGAGACGTGAAGGGCAAATGAGCTTCGGCCGTCCTAGTCCCCGATGACAGGCCTGGCTCGGCTCCAAAACAGCAATGGGCTCTGGTGGTCACCGTTTGAAGTGCAGTTTCGGCGGTCTCTCACTCACGATCGTGGCGCTACTGTCGCCGGTGGTAGGTTAGTGATGGGTCTCATACTACCACGATCTTTTCAAAACTGACGACAGAGCTCCGGCTTCATGAAATCAATTGACGCATCCCTAAGCGTATAATAGCTTCAATGGCTGATTTACTTTCCGTAAACGATAATGCCAGTGCCATCTGAAAACTTCCGCATCAAATCCACCACAGTACACTGCTCTTGTCGACGGCTTACATAAAGTTAACCGAGCTAATGTATCCGATATCTCACCTCCAGTCCTCCGAGCTGGTCCTGGAAGAGCAGCGTCAGGCTGCCGTAGTCGGTGTGAGCCGCACAGCGGACAGCGCCGGCCTCAGCAGCGCCCTCCGGTACCGGGGGGTAGTTGAGGACCCTCAGAGCCGAGCAGCCGCCCGGCTCCAGCATCCGACGGTGGGCCGAGGTCAGGGGGCCGCGGGAGGTCAGCGACGGCTCACTGGTGGTCAGAGGGGCGTCTGGTACCGGGTGAAGATCAGTCGGGAGTTTGTTGGAGTCTAGCTGCGACGGTTGATCAGAGAGGTCGCTGGGGATCTTGCTGTGATCAGTCTCTTGGTTACCGTTCATCTGCTGCTGATGCTGAGGATCAGCCGTCTGCTGCTGGCTGTCAGCCGCCGGCTGCTGGTCCAGCAGCACCTCCTGCACGGCTGCCAGCAGCCGGCCGCTCAGCAGGCAGCAGGCCCTGGCCAGCTGCTCCAGCTGCTGGCAGAAGCCGGGCAGCACCGAGTCCGGGTAGTCCTGGCGGCAAGAAAGAACGGCGCTTATTACAAGCTGTCAAATAAAGCACATACAGCTGAGGCAACAGACAAAATAATATCGAAATCGCATTAACCGCATAAAGCTCATTCTTTCTCTCTCCCACACCCTCCCTCCCTCCTTCAGCCTCTCTCTCTCTCTCTCTCTCTCTCTCTCTCTCTCTCTCTCTCTCTCTCTCTCTCTCTCTCTCTCTCTCTCTCTCTCTCTCTCTCTCTCTCTCTCTCTCTCTCTCTCTCTCTCTCTCTCTCTCTCTCTCTCTCCCTCTCTCTCTCTCTCTCCTCTCTCTCTCTCTCTCTCTCTCTCTCTCTCTCTCTCTCTCTCTCTCTCTCTCTCTCTCTCTCTTCCCTTTCCGTCCCTTCCACTATCGACGTTTTCTCGATTTTCTCTAGTGCTCTCTATCTCTCTTTCTTTCTCTTTCTATCCCTCCCCTGCTTCCTCCCCCTCTCTCCCTCTCTTTCCCTACGGTGCCTCACCTGACCGATGATCTGAAAGTCATAGCACTCCTTCAAATCCAGCAGATCAGCCTCGGTCAGTCGTCCAGTGTTCTCCCCTCCCACAGCTGTGTAACCGTTGAAGCCCGTCTTCTCGAAACGCGCAAAACGCCGCTTCGACGCCTCGTCGAGCGCGAAGAAGTCTCGCGAGGCGGCGAAGGTTTCTCTCTGGAGGTTGGCATCGATGCCGTGACCTCGTAGGTAGACGAAGCCGGATCGCTGGAAAGCGTCCACCACTCTTTGCCCGACGGCGAGGAGCACCTCGGCAGAGGGAGCCTCCCGCGACTCGGCTGGACGAAACGGACACAGGCTCACGTTGCAAGTTTTGTTTAATGTTTACTGTTTACTAAAGTGATGACAATAAGGCGAAAACACTTCAATGCATGATGTCGAGAAAAAAAAATCGTGGCTCTACCGCCTCTACACACAGAAAAATATTGACACCGTTAGCGGTGTAATTGCACAGTACATATCTGAGCACTTGAGGAAAGTTAATTTAGTCCCTTCCCCGCTTAAATTACTCGCGCTTCTAAATGAACACCAGGAAGAAGGTAATAGAACACTGTTAGGAGGGTTGGGTGTTTTACTACATGTAGCAAAACACCCAACCCTCCTAACAGTGTTCTATTACCTTCTTCCTGGTGTTCATTTAGAAGCGCGAGTAATTTAAGCGGGGAGGGGACTAAATTAACTTCCCTCAAGTGCTCAGATATGTACTGTGCAATTACACCGCTAACGGTGTCAATATTTTTCTGTGTGTACCGCATGAGCTTGGAAGTAACGACAGCGCATGATTCTTTAAAAAAAGATTGAACGATTCCGAAATGTTTATACGTAGAAATGAAATGTTTACGAACAAGTATAATAAAAGCATACATAATTTAAGCACCTCACCTATATCGCTGATGTCGATGATCGGGAAGTCGCACATCACGGCCGACGTCATCGTTCTCGTACTCCGGGTCCTGTCGGCACCGGATCCTGAAACAGACTGCCCTCAGATCCACTCCCCTCAGGACTCTACCGCTGGTACGTACACACTTCTGTCCATTTCAGGTATTTACGACTGTCTATGTGCGCTTTCGACTGTGTCAGTCGTCCTCTTACTTTCTACTGTCGTCCGTATAAGTACATACACACTGTCCGTGCCCGTTTGTAGTTATTCGTCCGTTCGGCCGTCTCAGTGACTGGTCTCAGTCCGCCTCTGCACTCACCACCTTTCTCCCTGTTCGCCTCGCTCTGCAGTCAGAGGCGAGTAGTCCCGTCTCTGTGTCCAGTTTCTGCTCATTGTCAATGTCCGTAAGTCACTGCAGTGCAGAGAGCCACCTGTGACCGTCTCAGATTTCAGTCCGTCTGTCCCCTGTTAAATCGGTACGGTCCTGCACTGGTCGGTCCTTGGCCGTCTCCGCTCACCGCGTCCTGTATGCCACTGTATGTCACTCAGTAAGTTTCCACTATATGTCACTGTATGTCACAGTAAGCTCCCACTACCTGTCACTGTAAGTCACTGAATGTTCCCACTGAAAGTCACCACCGTCCCCGTCGGTCCGCGTGCCGCCGTCGACTGTCGGCACCGACGTCCTCCCTGTCACCTCTCCCGTCGGTGTTTATAGATGCCGTGCTGGCCCGTCTCACAACGCAACATGACGTCACACACCTGCGTAACTATCCACATCTGGCGGCAATGTGTGCCAGGCTCGTCCGTTGTCATTATGGCGTAGTTCTGGTATGACATGGGCCAGTAATGGATGTCCGCTTTCCCTCTCGCCCCCTCGCCCCCGCAGTAATGGATCGTATTCCTTTCCGGTGTCTCGCTGTCTGTGACGTCACAGCCGGGTCAGCTGGTGGCGGCCAGCTGTTTACGGGGAGGGGAGACGGAGTGGAGGATTACTTCTCCCAAATGTCATATACCTACATCTGGAGGGATCTGGAAATTTCTGAAGCCGAGTTGAATCAGTTATGCAATGACATCTGTCAGGTTGCGTGTTACGTAATGAAAGCAACGCATGCTCGAATACCTACTATCCATAAGAATTACCCTGCCTTATTAAAACTCTTCTCTGGTGATCTTTTTTTTTTAATTTATCTGGTGATCAGCTGCAGTTAAATTTATTGCAATTGACATTTATATAATAAACTTAACATTTAACTTATTTGTTAAGAGTTAAGACATGTCTATGGAAATTTAATTTGGCCTACACAATATGCGCACATGTTAAATCCACAATTTCTTGCAAAGCGTCAGCGTTAACTCACCACAGCCTGCCGTTCGGTGAGATGTTCACTACCGTTCCTGCCGGGCCGAGGGACTGAACACGACTGAACGTGCGTTCCACTCTGCCGTGGGAGGCCCGAGAATCGATACGCATCTGCGTAGTGCGCCGCGCGAGCTCCAGGGTCACGGTATAGGCGGAGTTCCAGCCCCCAGCAGGGTTTTATCGATACAATTGTGACCGTTCACGGGAAGGCTCCCGATGAAGGTTCCAGAAAGAGCCCAAAGTTGGGGCGTGGTGCGGGGGCTGTAATTTACAGGGATGGAGTGGAATCCAACAGTAAATTTGCGAGTCGACGTTTCAGAGTGTGCGCGGTGAAATCGGCTGAGAGATTAACCCGGCAGGCGGTGGGCCTACCAGCCACCTTCCGCGCGGTGGGGGGGGGGCATTTCCCCCCCCCCCCGTATCTCCGAAACTACTGGACGGATCCGGCAAATTCGAACGGCGTTCGATAGCCCTGTCAAATTTGTTTAACCCGCGCGGGGCTGGGGGGGGTAAATTTTACCCCCCCTCGCGAATTTTTGCGATATCTCAAAAACGGCGGCGCGCAGCGCCGCCAAACTTTCAGTACCTTTTCTTACATCAATTTGACACGTTCCCTGAAAATTTGAGCGAAATCCGTCGGAAATTTTTTGAGAAATTGACGTTTTAGTGACGTCATGTTCGTCATTTTCGCCTCAAAAACGGCAAAAGTTCAAACGCCGCTAACATCTTCATTTTTAAAGGAATCAAGACGTAACAAAAAAGGTTATACGTAATTTTACTTTGTCTATCAAATGGCTATCTCGGTTTTTTGAAAGTTTTGGATTTTGGCCTAATTTTTTTTCAAAAAACTGACTTTTTTGGGAAAATCATTATAAAATCCAAAATTTTGAGTCTATCGAAAAAACCGGAATATATGTCAGAGAAGTGGTCTATGTGCACCTACATACCAAATTTTAGAAGAATCGGTTCAAAAATGTGGGAGTTATTCAAAATTTTATGACGTCACGACACACAAAATTTTTGAAAAATGACTTTTTTGGAAGTTCTAGACCTCGTACGGAAACAAAAATAGCACCATTCGATTCGCCGTGAAAAACTGCATCAGATGGACACCTTTTTAGGCCTTAACAACCAACTTCAAAATTTGACCTCACTTGACCTGACCTTGACCTGACCTCGACCTGAAATTCATCCAGAGGTGGTCCATATCACTTATTGAGTGTGTCTATTGAATTCTATGAGTAAAATGACCCATAAAACATGTGTCGCACATGCCCTTTTCTATATTTTGTTTTTTGGTGACCTGACCTGACCTGACCTGACCTTGACCTTGACCTCTGAATGATATTGTATGCAACGAATATTGTCTTGGTAGCCTAAGAACACGTTTTGAGCGATCAGTCTCAGTCCATGACTCCATTCTTCGGCAACTACGGTGCAAGGCCGATACTGTAGAAACTTGCAATTTGTACCCTTGACCTGACCTTGACCTTGACCTCAAACTTTAAATTAAGTACATGTTTTTAGTAGTTCGTGATGAGAGCTTTCGATTGGCGTTTGAATTTTCCAAATCGGACCGTTATTTAGTTAGGGAGATAACAGGGGGGGGGGGGGTAAAATTTACCCCCCCCCCCCCCAGCCCCGCGCGTTCGGCTGGAGACCCCAGCCCCGCGCGGGTTAAAGAAACCAAATTTCATTGACCTCGGGGTCACCGATGACGTCACAGGTCAGGTCAAAGATAAAATGTTTCACCGTTCACGGGGCTTCTAGGGAAAGCGCTATAACACCGAGTAAAACGCATTTTGTCGAAAATCAGCGATAAGGCGTCAGTTGCCTAATATATATGTTGCTATTAGAGGTCACTGGTCATACCAGGTCAGGTCACAGGTCAGGTCACCAAAGGTCACCAAGGGTCACCACATGAGCCCAACTTTACTAAGGTTATGCGATGCATGTTTTATGACCAGTTTTTCATTTCCAACTCAATGGTGTTGGGTAAAAGACCATCAGGTACGGTTTAGGTCACTTTCTGGTGGAGGTCAGGTCAAGGTCAGGTCAAAAAAGGTCAAATTTCAAAGTTGATATTTTGCATAAAATGGGTATCGATGCGATGCAGCTCGTCACGGGGAGTCTAATGGTGGTCTTTGTTTTGCGCTACGAGGTCTAGAATTGCTAAAAATTGAGTTTGAAAATTTGACGTCATCAATTTTGAACAGTTTTTTCGCTATAACTTGGTCAAAAAAAGAGGTATCGATCTCAAATTTGGTATGTAGATAGAAGGCGGTAGGGACTATCACATATCTTCCGTTTTTTCGAAACTCAAAAAACTTTTTGGATTTTTTGTTATTATATTCAAAAAATCTATTTTTTCATTTTTGGGGGTCAAAATCCAAAAAAAATCGAAAAACTGAAATAACAGTTTAGTAGCCCTTTTAATTCCCCACTTTTTATGTCTGAAACATTTTTTTTGTATCTCTAAAGCTGTAGGCCTGACAGCTCTTCCCGTGAAACCTTTTTTTTTTTGTTCGAAAATGGCAAAAATTACGTCACTCTGACGTCATTACCGGCCAACCTATCATAGCCTTTAGAAAAAAAAAATTGGTCACCATGTGCGCTAGCTGCTCCCGGGAGGGTACTGAAAGTTTGGTGACGATCGGCGTAGCGGTTCTCGAGATATATTGAAAAAAAAAAACTAAAGGGGGGGGGGCAAAAAAATGCCCCCCACCGCCTGGAAGGTTAACGGTCAATCAGAGTTCATTCAAATTTCTACTAAAGGTTGTCAGCAAATGGCGAACGAACTAATTCAGAATAACTAAGGTGATAAAACCAGTAGCGAAACAGTTGCTTGGAAATCAACCAGCTTCGGTCACGTTGATATCAACAAACATAAAACATCCACACAAAAAAATGTTTTGAAGAGTTAAATTTGAGTAAGTAGGTAACTGGAGGCTGCTTACCTCCCAAAGCAGGGACAGAGTGTCACGCACAGCCTGCACTTCTGACTGAACAATGCACTGTATTTATACGTGTTGATTGTGGGGCATTGTGACATTGTCCCATTTCTCGCTCGCACGTGCCGGCAAGGAACAGAAAGGTAACGAAACCTCTATGAGAGAATGTAATGCGTGTGCGTGCATCATCGTGTGAGCATTAATTGACCTCGCAAATTGCTGGGGAAGTGCTTGCGCTCCTCTGTGCCATTCGCCTGTGTCGTCAGTATTATACGCACGGAGCCGTCTGCAGGGTTACATAAGTTCTGAGAAACCTGTGAATGGGTGTCTTGCATAATCACGGACTTAGATGTCGATGATAATAACTACGGCCTACGGGCATCCAATGTCACTACAAACCGCCGTGTTCATCTCTCGTGCCTATGATACTATTCTTACAGAAAACACTGCCGTATAAACTTTGATGCATATGAATAAGTGCGTTTTATTGGACACGAGTAAAATCGCTCAATCTCTTCAGGGCGAATTTGAAAATTCACGCTCACCGTCATCGCTGTTATCAGACGGCTAAGCATGGTCAAATGTCAAATATTGCCTTTTGAATAGCTTTTCTTCGCAAGGTTATTGCCTAATCGCTCAGCATATAATCAGCCCTATACCTACCTAAAACCTTACCCGCGCGGGGCTGGGGTCTCCAGCCGAACGCGCGGGGCTGGGGGGGAGGGGTAAATTTTACCCACCCTGTTATCTCCCGAACTAATGGTCCGATTTAGAAAATTCAAACGCCAATCGAAAGATCTCATCACGAACAACTAAACACATGTACTTAATTTAAAGTTTGTTGTCAAGGTCAAGGTCAGGTCAAGGGTACAAATTGCAAGTTCCTACAGTTATCGGCCGTGCACCGTAGTTGCCGAAGAATGGAGTCATGGACTGAGACTGATTGCCCAAAACGTGTTCTTAGGCTCCCAAGACAATATTCGTTGCATACAATATCATTCAGAGGTCAAGGTCAAAGTCAGGTCAGGTCAGGTCAGGTCAGGTCACCAAAAACAAAATATAGAAAAGGGGGATGTGCGACACATGTTTTATGGGTCATTTTACTCATTGAATTCAATAGGCACACTCAATAAGTGATATGGACCACCTCTGGATGAATTTCAGGTCGAGGTCAGGTCAAGGTCAGGTCAAGTGAGGTCAAATTTTGAAGTTGGTTGTTAAGGCCTAAAAAGGTGTCTATCTGATGCAGTTTTTCACGGCAAATCGAATGGTGCTATTTTTGTTTCCGTGCGAGGTCTAGAACTTAAAAAAAATCATATTTTCATTTTTTGTGTCGTGACGTCATAAAATGTTTAAT